GATCTTTTTGAAATTCTAATGAATTTCTTCTAAATTTACACCAAATTTTACTTATTAAATATCATAAACAAGTTTGAAGCATATTATATTCAATAAATAGGTTTTCACTTAGGTGTTAGTGTGGATCGGAAGTCATTTATTACAGAAAAGTCTGCGTATGCATAATACGAAGAGGGTAACCACGTGAAAAACACCCAGTATTCCGTTTAATTTACATAACTGACATTTCGCATTATCTGATTTGTAGGTATTTCTATAGAAACCCGTTCAATTACTTATAAAACTGAGTCAACTGGTATATTGTCCTTTACGCAATTACTTCCTGGCATTTGCGTAAACAAACACTACTTTGACATATAATTCCCATTTAAACGTTAACAACATGAAGTTCAGTGAAGGGATCTCTTTTCAATCAGTACAATATATATCAGTTCCCTGAAAACATGTGAACAAGGAATAAACATGATGTTGTAATAGAAAGATTATAATACTAGATAGAGTAATATGGATAATAACAATAAAAGATTGTGTGTGTGCAAAATAAAAAGTCTTGTAAAAGTAATAAGTTAGCAACGGAATATAATGTGAATGAAATAAGGTGTTTCTGTTACAATAATTGAACGTAACAAAGGGGTAAAAATGAAATGAAGTGATGTCATAAAAAATTATGAATAAAATCATGAGACCTAAGTAAAGATAGTGGGGCATATTTTTCAATACGAAATGAAATAATAACAATAATAACGGTTATAATATTTTAAGGTCAAGGTAACGATAAGACGTACTTCTTTTGTACGCACGGTTCTGGCTCCTACTCATGAATAACAAGAGCTTCTGCTATTTTAAGGAGTTGGATACGTGTTTGTTAAATAAATGAATGTGACATCAACATAAATTTAAAATATTATCTGGGTGTTTCAGTCTCCATCCATATTTATCTTTGACAGGAATTTATATATATAATTTTCTATCAGTTGTTAAAGGCTAAAAATTAATCATTGAATGAACTATGTCTTTCATTCAACTACAAGTTAAAGTTATACTAAACTTAAAACCCATTGACAAAAGTAAATTTAAGTAATTTTTATAAACTGAATACAGAAGAATGCAGAAAACTGGTTTTCTCAAACCCTTATCAATTTGCAAATAGGTTTTCAGGAGTCCTGGTTAGGGTTAAAGACAAGACTGATAGATAGGGTTAATTTGTGTGCCATGTACAATTTAATTGGGAAGAGTTGAGCATTTAACACGTTTAACAGTTATTTCTACACAATGATGGTCAGAAATAGCTTTTAATTGTCTTTTTAAACTATCTGAATACTATGAAAATGTATTTCTATTGGTTGCATTACACGACTTACGACAAATTTAGTGTTTTTTGGATTTGGTGAAGAAATTCAAAAGCCGTTTCTCAATTCTGAGCCCCAATAAAATACCTATTTTTAAATTATGCTTCCTAAAAGTTTCTCTGTGTTGTTAAAAACCAAACAAGTACTGTTTTTTCACCCTTCATAAAGTTATACTATGATGCTGCATCATACATGACAAGTTCATACAAGCATATATTCTTTTGGACTACACGAGACTAGAATAATCACGTGACTATCCAATTTATTAATTCAAATCTATTGGTTTTCTTGTACCCACTTATACGGGTAGTCCTGAATAACTATCCACGTAATTTTCGACATACCCTAACCTATCTATATGTCCATTGTTTTTGGAGATACAGTTGTTACAAGATACAGTTCAGATTACTATACATTCGTTCATTACTATCCAGTTTAGATCAAACCAAAGCAATATAACTCCGGCTAACTCCACTCAAATACAATTACTGCTCATCCTATTGCCAAGATTACTACAATTCTGCTGCAATTACTCGATGGTCGATTCCTGGTGTCATTCCTAATCCTTATTATTACAGTTCGGCCCTATTGACTAATATACTTATTGGTCAGTTCAAGTATTTAAATACACATTCGATGATATTATGATTCAGGTTTCATTGAACCCATGTGTTATCGGTCACTTAAATTAGTTAACAGATAATGTTGAACTTCTTTCGGAAAGAAGCACTAGCAGACTGAATTAATTAAAATGACAAACAGTAATAGTGGTTTCGGACATTAATGAGAACAAGAATTTTCCCCAGGTTACACTATATCACTTACAGTTTTTAGATTAAATCAGACATACTAACTAGATGGAAAATTAAGGTTTGGTAAGTTTGCAGGTAATGGTCTGTGGAGTTAATGAATAACTATTACGATAAGTGACTAATGATCACGCAGACAGGAAAAAAAGGTAAATAAATTATTAACAGGCTTCAACACGAATTTTTACCTGTGGTCTATTGTTGTCAACTAACACCCAGACATTATTTTCACTGTCTATTGAGATATATGAAAATCGCCATATCGTATCAATAGTTCTCATCGATATCAAGCTACAGACAATAGAAAACTGATTTCCAAGACAGACAAACGGAATTTGAGCTTACTTTTCATTATCGAGTTATAAGTATTATTCATACAACGAAACCGATAGTCATTCGAAAATCTGTTGCCAAGCAAGGCGTATCGAAATCAATAGACAACACAGGAGACAAGTAAGTTTGCTCTTAAAATATAACTTTTACTCTCCACTTATGAGTCTAATTATAATGGCCCTAGAATAACTTACCGTGCTTCGCTTCAATTTGTTTGGTGGCATCCAAAATCATTCTTCGTACACAAGGTAAGTACGGACTGACTCCAATGAATCACTATTGTTTCCTGTATTACTTGGCCTGAAATTTGTGCAATACTAATGGTACTGAAGACAGATTTGATCACCAACAATTATTACACATAAGATATGAAGATTAAATCATTGTTTTATACGTCATAGTCACCCTTCTGACATGCTGTGATTAAACCTACTCAAGAAATTAACACATTTCCATAAACTGTATAATTAAGTAACGGTACTTAAAACGGATAAACCATGAAATGACGATACTTAGTATTCAAGTGATAAAATATCTGCAACTACGATCTTACTAACTATTTACCCTAGTAATTAATTGTCCTATCAGGCTATTCAGTTTCTTAATACATTTTGTATCAATAAATGCGAAGATTTATGCATGTAGTTCGATTTTTAGACCACGCGAGTGTTTAGTAGTATGAATCGTTATTCCAAACTATTGATTACACTCCAAGATCCATGCAATATTTATATTAGTAGATGTTTGCGACACAGATAGCTATGCGCTACTGAAATGGGTATGCAATAAAATAGAAATACCAGCTTTACTATGTTCAAGGGAAATGTAGAAATACTTCTCTAAAGATTCCTCAGTTTCGAGTAAACTGATAGGTTTTACTATAAACTAATGTACGCGACACGTGAAACCAAATTAGTGGTTAGGGAACTAGCTTCAAGAAATATGATATACTTTTCTAGGTTAGTGCAACTTTGATCTACTGTAATCTACACTGGAAACAGTTTAGGCCCATCTCTTGATAGTAAGTGTAAGGAAGATCATATGAATTTTATAACAGAAGAGCCACTCAACTTTCAGTGAGTGAAACATTAATATGTGGCTATAGACCCTAGGTTGTCGGGTCTGAGGTAAGACCTGAAATCATATAAAACAGCGTAGTAACAAAATAGATATTACTATGTTCAGCTTCCAGTTACACTAATTATATGACACGGGGTTATATTACTTAGTACTTCAAATGAAAACAGAATGGCTTATTTACCAAGTAACTAATCTCCTTGAAATTCCTTATATCTACTTGCAAAACTACGTGAAATACATTCGTACTTTATGACAAAACCAGAAGATAATTTTGTATAATAGCAATATTTCATAAAAATTATGGTTCAAATGCATTCTACGCCTGAGTTAACAACGTCAACAATAACGAACAGTTTAAGGAAGACGACTCCCCATGAAAAAGAACACCAGTGGCAGGAAAGATAAGATTGAGATTTACTGAAGCAACAAAACACCCTAGCAACTGTCAAGCAAGAGAATTAGATTAAATAAAGTTTTAACTGTGCACTTTTAGTGAGTAGCATTAAAAAAGAATAATAAAAACTTTCCCAGTTTATCTGTAAACGACTGTTTGTTTCCTAAAAATTTATGCTGTATTCTTGTGATGCATAATGTCTGGGATTGATCTTCGTGAACTGGCAAGAAGAGATGTAGTTTTACCAGATGGTTGTCATTTTAATGAGCAATGTTGAGTAAATATGAATCATTTATGCAGAATACCTTAGAGTATTCAATCAGTCAAGTGTACGCAGTGATCTTTAACGGAAGTATATCATTCTAATTTCCTCAATAATTGAACAGTATTTCAGGTAGTCACAAACACACTGGTCTCGTGTATAGAACAAATCAATAATGAAGCTAAAAATTATGAAGGTTCATACTTAACTTGTAAGTCAGTAAATTAGGTGATTGATTACTAATATACTTTAGTCGACAAGTTAACACATCCAAGGATTCCATAAACTAATTACAATGCGTTCACATATCGGATAGTAGGTGCCTGAATTGATTTAGGTAAGAATTAACAAGAAAAACAGTTAAGAAAATCCACGAGTTGGTCATTGAAACATATTACAAACATTGGGTTACATAGGCGTTTGTATCATTAGCCAAACCTTTGAAGGGATATTTACAGCCATTTAAACGTTCCTGAAGCTAAGAGCAGTAAAAATGAATTAAAAATACCCGAATACTTCATCTGTAACGCACCGAAAAGCAAACAAACAACCTGTGCCAGACGGAATAATTCGGCAATGACTTAAAGAGGTTGGGAATCGTATACCACGACACGTTCATTATATTACAAGACAAGAGACAATAGAATGTTGTTCATTGAATTCTAGTCTATCCGTGTTCAGCGGGAGTTCCGAGTCATTGGTCTGAACATGTGCATTACTCAACAAGCACTTAAATACAAATAAGCATCAACCTGTAACTTTTAACTGTCTTTCATAATGGTCAACTTTTATTTTACATACAAACAAATAGAAAAGTACACATTATAGTTATAGCATTTAATGTTTTCATCCACAGAAGTCCAAAACACAAAAGGAAAACATGAGGAAAGTAGAAGAGATGCAAAGAGGACATTACATCCAAAGTTACATAACCATAGAGAAGATAAATTATTTTTCATTGTTTTTACATACACATATCACAATGGGCCTGAGGCGTTAAAAAATTATAGCAACGACAAAACTAATACAAAAATAGAAGGCAGACAAAATATTTTAGTTGGTTTCCAAAATTGTTTTATTTACTTCATGTCTAACGTTAGCTTCGCTCCGATAGTTACAATGTAAATATAGCGACAGAATAACGAGAGAGAAAAAAAGTAATATCTTTTATATACTCTATTTACCTCGTGAATACACACAAATCCAAATAAATAAATCAATATTAGTGAATATTATGATGAAAAAAACAAGAAAGACAAGTGAATATATATATGTTATAATCCCAAAACAGCGAACATTACAATAACCTTGAGTAATATAAATAAGGATTTACTTCGAGATTTTAGATGATGCATTGCTGGTCTTTGGAGAAGCGATGGGTGGTGCATTTCCAGTTGGCAAGGAAGAAGTTGATAGAGCATCTACAGAATTCTAAAACAGGAAAGATAATTGAAAGAAAAGAATATAGGACTGATGATGACGAATCGGAAGAATAAGCAGGCCTAAGGAAAATTAAAATTAAATACTTACTTAAACCTGTTACCCCTCGTGGAGAAGCATAGACCACCCACCAGCATTCTCTATCAAACTCTACCCCGGGAAATCCTTTCCAGTTGCTATTCATTCTTTTGATGTCCGCTTCCGATTCCCGACACCGTGTGTTCCTTGGCTTTTGTCTTTCCCTTTAGCCTTCAGGATTCCAAGTTGATGCTTGCTTCGCGATTCAGTTTGATGTTTTCCTCAATGTATGCCCTATCCACTTCCAGAGTTTTTTCCTAATTTCCTCTTCAGTTCGAAGCTGGTTTGTTTTTTCCACGGTAGGCTGTTGCTGATTGTATTCGACCAACGTATCTGGAATATTTTGCACAGACAGTTGTTTGTGAATACTTGTACCATTTTGATGATGGTTGTGGTAGCTATCGAAGTTTCAGCTCCGTACAGTAGAGCTGTCTTGACATTCGTATTGAAGATTCTGACTTTGATATTAGTTGACAGTTGTTTTAAGTTCCGTATGTTCTTCAAGTGTAGGAATGCGGCCCTCGCTTTGTTAATTCTCGCCTTTACGTCTGCATCGGATCCTCCTTGTTCATCGATGATGCTGTCCAGGTATGTGAAGGTTTCCAACTCTTCCAAAGTGTCTCCATCAAGTGTGATTGGGTTGGTGTTCTCCGTGTTTTATTTCAGGATTTTGCCTTCCCTTGTGTATGTTGAGGTCTATTGATGCAGCGGCTTCTGCTACACTGTTTGTCTTGACCTGCATTTGTTCGTGTGTATCGGATAGAAGGGCCTGATCGTCTGCGAAGTCCAAATCGTCTAGCTCATCCTAAGCTGTCCATTGTATTCTGTGCTTCCCGTCAGATGTGGAGGTCTTCATAATGCAGTCAACAACCAGAAGAAAGAGCAAGGAGGAGATTAAGTCGCCTTGTCTGACTCCGGTTCTCAATTGGAATGTGTCTGTCAGCTGCCCTGCATATACAACCTTGCAGTGTAGTCCGTCGTGTGAATCTCGGATGATGTTTCACGATCTTAACAGGTATGCCATAGTGTCGAAGAAGTTTCTATATGGTTCGCCTATCCACACTGTCAAACGCTTTCTCACAGTCAAGAAAGTTGATGTATAGTGATGAATATCATTAAATTGATTGCTCGACAATGATCCATAGTGTGACGACTCGGTCTGTACACGACTGATCCTTACGGATTCCGGTTTGTTGATCTCGAATCTGTGTGTCTGCTTAATCTTTCATCAGGTTCAGCAACCCTTTGTTGAAAACATTTCGTGGTACTGATAGTAGCCCGACCGTTGCTGCTACCTTGATGTGGTGGCCAGGTTTGCATACTGTGATGAACCAGTCGAGCCATACTGGTTAGAACAATCGTTCCTCAAGGTCCAACCATGAGACAGGTCAGTTGAAGAACGGTAAGACTAAAAGCAGCAAACTCAAGGTCCGAAGGCGAAGTCGTTCTGCTGACTGTACGGAGGTGTGACGGCAGTAAGGTGTTTCCTTCAGACAACCAGCATGACAGCGATGCTGCCTTCCCACAAGGAGGGGTGGGGGGTCAGAAGAAATCGACCCTAAAAATACACATCTCTTCTTATCCCACGGATTTCCGTCTCCGGTGGTAAGGTTCCAAAATTTACGGAGCCAACACGAAAATTACTCACAAAACGTCGTGTGTGACCGACATCACGCAGTTGTTCCCTTGACACTGAGGTCACGCTCTCAGATTACTAAGATCACCTCTAATCCGACTTCTTTTTCAGGTACTTCCAAGAGAACCCTTCCACGATGTGGACAACCGGGAAGTGATAACCGCTCTCATACTTCTAACAGCACTCGAGACCATTGTATTAATAATCAATCTTCTCCTTCAATTCCTACTATTCCTCTTACACTATCCCAGGTCTACTGAAACCTCACTCCAAACTATACATTGGAGCATTCAACGTACGTACCGTATGTCAAATCGGCCAGCAGACCTCCTCGGCTAAAACCTAAGAATCTCGTACCATTAATGTATGCTGTCTCCGAAACACGCATTTAGGATTCTAGTGTGGTCATTCACTTGATCTCACCTCGCCAAAACAGAAAGCCGACGAGATACACTCTGTGTGTATCTGGAGACCCGATGACTAGTTCATGTGGACTGGCAGGTGTAGGCATATCGATAAGTACAATGGCAGAACAAGCACTATTAGACTGGAACCCCGTTAACCGTCGTCTATGTGCTGTTAGGCTAAACGGCTCCGTAAGAACTTCGAAGGAAAGGGACACGTCGTTGCCTTTTCATCGCTCTCACTGACTGCAGCCTGGATGAAGTGAAAGATGACTTTCACAGAAGGCTCAACGCTAAGACAAAGTACTCGTAGCAGATGACTTTAATGTCCAGGTAGGTAGCTTAAACAAAAGAAAAAGACATTTAGATGCGAATTTTGATATTCCGGTTCAGCGAACAGATAATCGTGACTGCTGCAACAACTGTGCTCAGACAATCGTTAACTTTTAGCGAACACTATTTTCAGCATAAGGAGAGATATCGTTTCACATGGCGACCACCTGCACCAAACCAACGATGGACTCAAATAGACCATATTGCTATCAGTCATCATTGGAGTGGCTCAATAGAAGACTGTCGCTCGTTCTGGAATATCCGTTTGGACTCCAATCATGCTCTAATACGAGCATGTGTTTGCTTGCGTCTCTCTGAACGCGGGCAAATCACATCGAGAAGACCCATTAGAGACGAACTCAGTGACGAGGAAGTCAAAAGTAGATTACAAGAACAACTGAGGTCACATTTACGTAGTTCTGAAAACGAGACTGACCCAGATGTTGCTTGGAACGAACAGCTGTGGAAATAGCAGTGACATCTATTAGTGATTTAAACCAAAGGGTTACGAAGAACCAATGTATTTCTACTAAGTCTATTGCACTGACGGATTCTCGCGAACTTACCCCATCAGGCCCTAAACACGATGAAAAACGAAAACAAATCAAATCTAGATTAACCATAAGTCTAAGGAAAGACCGTGAGCAGTGGTGGGCAACGAAAGCAAAAGAGATGGAAAAGGTGGCGGTTGTAGGCAACACCAGACAGCTTTTCAGACTAATAAAAGAAACGAATTAGGAAGTTATGTGTAAGTGAGACGATCTCGGAAAAAGACGACACTTATCTGCTCTCAGTCCAGACGCTTAGAACGATGGGCGTTGCACTTTGAGGAGCAGTTTAACTGGCTTTCAGTTACTCTACAACTACCCACCATTCCCAAACAGTCTGAATGGAACATTGAAGTAGCCCCCTCGACTCTAATTGAAGTTCAAAAGGCTATAGTTAATCTGAGACGAGGAAGAGCAGCTGGTCCAGATGGATTGGCTCCAGAGGTCTTTAAGTACGGTGGTCCAGCTTTAGCGATTAGGTTGATCAATATTTCAAAAAGACCTGGGAGTTGGACGTGATTTCATCTGACTGGTCGCAATTACTGATTGTCCTGATATATAAAAAGGGGTCAAAACCATCCTGTGATAACCATAGAGGGATTAGTTTGACTGACGTAGCATCTCAATTACTGGCCTCGATAATTATCGGGGGCCTAACAAAGACATGTGAACTGCAAACACGAGAAACTCAGCCTGGATTCAGACGTGGTCGTGGCTGCGTCGACCACATATTCACCATTCGTCAGGTTCTAGAACACAGGCATACTTATCGGCGTCCGATAATGGTGGTCTTCCTTGACTTAAAAGCAGCATTTGACTCCGTAGACCGCGAGATCCTGTGGTAGTGTTTGTCATTGAAATGCGTACCTCAGAAGTACATAAACCTTGTGAAGGCTCTTTACTCGAACACTACTAGTCGAGTCAGAGCCTATGGTGAACTGTAATCTGATTTCTCAACCACAAGTGGTGTCCGACAAGGCGGACCACTTTCTCCATTTTTGTTTGACTCCATCATCGACCTACTGATGGAAATAACGTTCTCGTCGTCTGAATTTTCAGGCATTGGTCTCCTACGAGGAGGTCCACTTATCGACTTAGAATACGCAGATGACGTAGTCCTGTTTGGTGAAGACGCTGATAGAATGCAGTCTTTCGGTAGAATTGAGAAACAATGCCAGAATGTTTGGGATACGTTTTCCCCCCTTTAAATGAAAATTGTTGGTCCAGGACTAGCCTGTGTCAACGCCTAAACTAAGGATAGGGAGTGAAGTAGTCGAACGCGTCGGCAACACTTATCTTGGAAGTCTCGTCAGCCCTAATGGGTTGGCGTCTGAGGAAATCTCTGCACGGACTCTGAAAGCTCGTTTGGCTTTTTCCAACTGACGTCACTTATGGCGGAGGAGAGATACATGCCTGGTCCTACGTTGTAGCTGACTGACTGACTAACCGATAGTAGTGTGATACCTCTGTAGTTTTCAGATTTGCTGAGATTTCATTGCTTTGATATCTTGATGAGGTGTCCTTCTTCCACTCAGTCAGTGGCACTTTTTATTCCTCCCAAATCTTCCCGAATAGAAAATGGAGCATGTTCGCAGTTACTTCGATGTTTGGCTTCATATTGTTGTCTAATATTTGGTTTTCTGGCAGCCTTTCTGTTGTCATGGCATTCTTCTACATATTTTCGTTTATCAACACTAACGCTTCTCTACTTGATTGTTTGCTTCTGTGTATTTGGCCTGTAAATTAGCTTTATCTGCACTTGTCCGATTGTTTTTAATCCGTTTTCTTGTTCTTCCTTTCCTGAAACTTGTACAGGTTTTCCATAGAGACCCATTCCTTATGACGATGCTTTGTGATGCTCAGGACCACCTGATACATTGAAGCTAGTGCTTCTTTGATTCCTTTACAATTGTCCTGCATAGTATTTTCTTCTTCTCTCAGTAGATCTTGCAAGACTTGGGACCTGTTGTTGAGAGTTATCTTGAATTCGTTGAGTTTGTCAGTATGTCGAAGGCTGCATTGAACCATCGTATGACTGTTTCCCCAGACGTTCAGTGTTTCTTTAACTTCAGTTTCATTTTGGTAGTCACAACTAGGTGGTGATCTGAAGCTATGTCAGCTCCTCTCCTGGTACCCACGTCTTTCCATTGACCTGCTGAATTTTTTACTGATGTAAATATGATCGATCTGGTTCCGTGTAGTGTTATCCGGTGAAACCTATGTAGCTTTGTGTATGCATTTGTGGGGGAATGCACATAAATGTGCAAATCCCCTAACATTCTCGTTCCTTCCTCACAGTCCACATTGTTCCATGATATCTTCATACCCGGTGTTGTCCATTCAGACTTTGGCGTTTAGGTCTTCCATCAGGATGGTCGGGTCCCTTCTTGAGCACTTCGCTATAATCGATTGCAGCCTCTCGTAGAAGTGATCTTTATCATTGTCGTTACTATTAGTGAAGGGCGCATAACACTGAAAACACTCATTGTGATTCCTTCCTGCCTTGTTTTGAAAGATGCGGATGATCCTGGGTACATGAGATTCCTATCCTATAAGTGCATAACGTGCTTCTTTAAAAAGCATCAGCGCAACTCCTTAAGTGTGCGAGTTATTTTCTTCTTCATGACGAAAGTAGAGGGGCATCCCTCCCAAATCTAACGTTTTCTGTCCAGCTTGGGTCTAATGGGTACCACTGATTCCGAGCACCTCCAAGTTGTATCTCCTCATTTCCGTAGCTACTTGATTAGTCCTGCCGGCCTCTCACATTGTCCGAACATTCCATGTACCTATATTAATTGTTGCTCTGGTTGTTAGAAGAAGCATCGGTTTTCCTCATGAGGCGTCATAATTTTTTTGAATAAAGATGCTTTAACATCCAGGGCAGTTTAAATGGTTCAAATCGTTTATTGTGGTTAGAATTTTTTTAGCAAGGTTGTCTTCTACGGGATGGGGATGCTGAGCTTATGACCAACCTTTCTCCTTTACACAGGGTAGGCTGGTTTCAGAAAAAAAGGAATCGCATACACATTATGACAGGTAGTTATATGAAAAAAACAGAAGAGTTGTTTACAGTTTCTTCACCTAGTTACCATGTGAACCGTCCTTTAAATTGAGTACTTTATTGTAAATATTCAATGTTAGCAGTCTGTCTCATCGAGTAATCAGTGTGTACACACACACACACAAATGAACAGTAGTTATTACCATACACAAACGACCTTGGTATATTATTGAACAAGTTGCTTGGGGTTAAGGTCAAATATGAAACTAATTTTCGTATGTAAAGAACTAAGCACCGAAAAATAATATATAAAACATACAGGTAGCTGACGCCCTTTTGTTTCTATTGGTAGGAAAAGGGATACAATTGAGACTATCAGGGTTACAGAGGCATATAAAGATAAAGCTCCAATTTCCGACACTTCTGGCATCATTACTTGAGCTACATAAGGTGTGACCATTGCACCCAATCGGGCAATCGAACTGAACATCCCGACAGCTACTGCACGAACAGTTGTAGGATAGACCTAAAAATAAAGATATGGGATGGGTTAATATACAATAATGTGGCTTTAATCGATTAAACCTTAAGTATGAACTATTGAGAATCACTTGGAGTATTGAGTTAGTAATAAGAACTCAGAAAACAATAAATGAAATAATGTTACGGCAGTGTCACGCGGCGATTTTTTAATAGGGAACGAAGCTGCTTATTTTCACCAAAAGACAATCAAGTTAATGAAAAAAATGGAATTGTCTCAATTCAAGATAACTATGCAAACCATACAAATAAACAAAACAAATATTAGATTCCATGATGTTATATTAGCTATTAAAATCATATACGGTAGTAAGAAAGTCAGTCAGTAACAACGTAGAACTTCGTACGTACGTACATCAGTTCGAGTTGCCATACCACATTAGCACAGAGATGCAGTTGTCGATTCAAATCACGTAGTGGTAGAGGTAGCAAGAGTATAAGCAGTAATCGGGAAGATTAGGGTTTGAAGATGTTATTCAAGTAGTATAATCCAGTGAAATAAATTTGGAAAGAAAATAAGGGACATGAAGAATTCAGAAGATTAGAATTTGGGAGAACACAAAGAGTGGATGCACCTGCGCCATTGCAAACGGTTTGAGCCATGTCATTCAGGGTCTCTAACCATCGGTTGCTATCATCTCGCGGTCCCCAACCAGGTAGTCTACACATACCAACATGACTCAGTCCACTTGTCAGTGACTTCATGGACTTGTGCTATGTTTTGGTTTGGCCGCCTCTAGCTTTCTTCCAACCTACTCCTATACCACTGAACATAGCACGTCGAGGCAGTCGGTGGTTGGGCATACGTAACACGTGTCCGAGCCATCTCAACTGATGAAGTTTCACTACGTCATCAATTGATTTGCCATCCTTACCTAGTACCCGTTTCCTAACAACTGTGTTACTTACTCGATGGGGAGAGTGGACAGCCCTGACGAACACCACTTGAGGTAATCAATTCTGATCACAGTTCGCCATAAGCTCTCACTCTACCAGTTGTGTTCGAGTAGAGAGCCTTTACAAGGTTAATGTACTTCTTTGGTACTCCTTTCAGTGACAAGTACTGCCATAGAACCTTACGATCAACAGAGTCGAATGCCGCCTTAAGGTCGAGAAATAATACGATTGTGGGGTGTCTGAATGTGTATCTGTGTTCTAGAACCTGACGTAGTATGAATATCTGATCTATACAACCACGTCCAGGTCGAAAACCAGCCTGGTTTTCTCTAGTCTATTCTTCACGAGCTTTGGTTAGGCGTCGAAGTATTATTGAAGTTAATATTTTAGACACTATATTAGTCAAACTGATTCCTCTGTGATTGTCACAAGAGGACTTTTGTCCTTCCTTAAAAACTGGCACAATCAGTGATTGAGACCAGTCAGATGGGATTACGTCTAGTTCCCAAATTCTACCTAAGACGTCAGTTAATCTCATTGCTAATACTGGACCACCATCCTCAAAAATCTCAGGAGTAAACCTGTCAGGGCCTGCTGCTCTCCCTCGTTTCAGATTTCCTATGGCTTTTTCGACTTCGTAAAGGGACGGAGGACCTACATTAACTTGCAATTCAGGTTGACTGGAGATCGTGGGAAATCGAAGTGTGGCTGAAGGCCAGTTGAACTGATCCCTAAAGTGTTCTGCCCATCGATCGATCCAATCTCCTGGATTGAGAATGAATAATATGTCCATCTTTCTCTGAGATTGTTTCGCTAACGATCGGGTTCCTAATTCCGGTTTCCTTAACAAGTCTGAACAATTGTCTGCTATTACCTATTGCCGCTGCCTTTTCCATCTCTCTTGCTTTCGCTACCCACCACTGTTCGCGATCATTGTGTAGGCTTCTTGTCAGCTTGCGCTCAAGCTGACTCCGCTCTTCATTATGTTCAGAGCCAGGTGGAATGAGTTTCCGGGCATCTATCAGTGCGATAGATGCTGCTGAGATCCAGTGTTGCTCCCTAACCTTCTGGTTTACCGTACTAGCAGATATCACTGCTGTTTCCACAGCTTTTCGGATATCATTCCATGCTGCCTCGGAGTGGACATCACATACATGACTGCCTAACTGTTTTCCTAGGTGTTCCTGAAATATACTCTTAGCTTGACCACCATTAATTAGGACCCTAAGAGGTTTACTTGCAGCGTCTTTCCTACGTCCAGTAAGACGCAGACAGATACGCGCTCTCACTAGAGCATGATCTGAATCTAAGCATGTACTCCAGAATGAGCGACAGTCTTCTATCGAGCCCCTCCATCGGTGGCTGATAGCGATGTGATCTATTTGGGTCCAACGTTGGGACGAATTAGGAGGTCGCCATGTTAAAAGATGTTTTTGTTTATGCTTAAAGTTAGTATTTGCAAGGAACAGGCGGTTATCTGAGCATAGCTGCAACAGACGGTCGCCATTATCTGTTCTTTGAGCCACGACACCATAAGATCCACCCAGGTGTCTTTCCCTATCGCTTAGTTTACCTACTTGAGCATTAAAGTCACCGGCCACTATTACTACATCAGAGCGCCTAGCTTTTGGGAGAAGGTCGGAAAGCTTTCTGTAAAACTCATCTTTTACATCATCTGAGCTGCAGTCAGTGGGAGAATAGGCAGAGACGACAAAGAGGCAACGACGAGTATCCCTATCTTTCCGGATTCTTACTGTTCCGTTTAGTCGAACAGCGCACAAACGACTGTCTACTGGGATGCACTCTAAGAGAGCTAGTTCTACCCTAGGACTCAATGCTATACCTACGCCGGCGAGGCCACGGGAAGCAGAATCTGGGCTTCCAGATACACGAAGTGTGAATCGAGTCGGTTCTTTATTTTGGCATGGTGAGGTCAAGTGAATGACGCTACTTGGATCCTGTATGCGCGTTTCGGAGACGCAGCACACATCGATGTCGCGAGATTCTAAAGGTTTAGCTAAGGAAGCCTGCTGTCCTATTTGGCAAAGTGTTCGGACGTTAAAAGTTCCTACGTGTAGTTTAGAGCGTGGTTTCAGGAGACCAGGAATAGCGTTCCGCGTACTCGAATCGTTTGCCCTAGCGGTGCGAGATGATAAAGAGACGTGAGAAGGGTTAGTCATGGAGATAAGAGAGGTATTAGGAGGTGTAGGAAGGATTTGAATGTGACCAACTTGGTCTCGTGTGCTGTTACGGGTATGAGGGCTGATATCACTTTCCGGCTGCCCACACCGTGGAAGGGTATTTCTTGAAGAACCTGAAAAGGAAATTGAATTAGTGTTGGTCTTAACGACCTGGGAGCTTGATCACAAAGCCCAAGGGACAACTGCTTGAGGCCGATCGCGCACGGCCTTTTCGTGGAAGGTTTTTAATGTGTTAGCTCCGTTCTTCAAAGGGCCTTACCGCCGGAGACGGAAATCCGTGAGGTAAGGTGAGGTGTGACATTTTTAGGGTCGACCTTTTCTAGCCCCACCCCTCCTTGTGGGAAGGCAGCATCGTTGCAGATGCTGGTTGTCCGAGGGAAACACCTTACTGCTGTCACACCCCTCTACAGTCAGCAGTACGACTTCGCCCTCAGATCTTGAGTTGCTGCTTTCAGTCCTAGCGTTCTCCAATCGACCTGGCTGGCATGGTAGAACCTACAGGAACATATGTTCCAGCCAATATAGCTCGGTTGGGTCATCACGATAGGCAAGCCCGACCACCGCGTCAAGGTAGCAGCTTCGGTCGGGAGAAAATGTGTGTATGAATCAAAAAGAACGCTAGTACGATTTAAAACAATGTTATTATAGGTGTAAGATGTGAAATCATTATATTGAGTGAAGATGCTCTTGAATTTCAATATGTCTTACAATTAGGAAAAAACATTTATCACGCTGTCTTTTCCTGAGGTGGTCATTCACATTTACTGGTTAAAACATTCTTTCGTAAGAAATGAGATGGGGTGGTTAGCAGAAATTACATACGAATACTTACAAAAAAAATTATCAGCAAATAACTCCCAAGGAACTTATGTGTAAAAACTTACCTCCGTTGTGTAAACGTATGCACAACTAAATAAACCGGCAGACAAAGCGCGCAAAACAAATAATAGAGCTGTTAAGGCTGACTTAGGCATACAAAGATAAAGTAACATAAACAGAACAGCTATAAGTCCATTCCACGCAGCCAAAGTAATCTTTCTTCCAGCTAAGTCGACCATGAAAATCATTAATGGTATACCTGAAAAAGAAACAGACAAGTGACTGAAAGAACCATTAAAAAGGAATAGTAGCTGACTTGAAAACATGCGAAGGAAGGAAAGACTAACTAACGAACAGATAAAGTACAGTCAAAGCTTTTAAACGATTTTTTTTACGTAAAGAACTATTAATTCGCTACTTCACAAGTCGATGATCACCTACTACAATTACCTCACAAATATATGCATTTTTACGTAGTAGTCGAGAAGTAAAAACAAGTCAGGATTACTTTTATTCCATATAAGGTTATTTAGGGTGATATCAGAAACAAATGTCAGGATTAATGACAAGCCAAGTCTGTGAAGGTGAATGAGATAGCTAATCTATTCCTAGTTAGATGATGAGAACAAATAAAATACACCACGGAAGTGCCATAAAAAGGTAAAATCAAAGTTGAGGAAAACGAATATTCAATATTCTGTGAGATTGATTGTACGTGTTGCACTAACATCAAACTAATCGAAATACTAAGATACTAGAGAATGCGAATGATACCAACAGATCATGGATAACCAAAACAGGAAGCTAGGAAAGATACTCACATCACAACATTTGACAATCTTGACAACAGAGATCGAGATATCAAGCAGACGACATAGAGAACAAAGAAACACCCTCAAGAACAAAAACTAATCAAGATTGCAACGTCACCCATAGAAGAAAACACAAACAACTGTGTGGTCAACCTGGTAAAACAACCTCTGATGAAGAAAGAATAACATCTCCGAAAAGCATTTAACTACAATGCACGTGACACTTAAAACTAGAATTCTTCGCTGCACTAGAGTCATCACTTTAAACTGTCGGGATAAATGAAGAAACCCAAGAGAAATCAAAACAAACCATAGTACCGCTAACTCGACAGGAAAATGAGGACACCCGATTGACCGCACAAGAACAGGAACTTTTAAAGAAACTCAAAACAAGAAAAGATATTATAATAGTTCAAGTGCAAAAAGTCAGTCAGTCAGCTACAACGTAGGACCAGGCACATATGTGCATCGGTCCAGGTTGCCATACCGCATCAGCACAACAAGATGAACACCGGATTCATAGCAGTGGTTGATGTCAAAGGCGGTAATATATAAGGGAAAGATTGCAATAAGGATATAGTACAAGAAGAAAGAATTGGTTCGTAGAAAGAAAGATATTAAGCGATTTTAATCTCTTAGTTTAAGGGAAGACAGGGAGTGTATACACCGACGCCATTGTGATCGATTCTGAGCCATGTCACCAAGAGTCTCCAACCATTGGTTACGATAGTCACGCGGACCCCAACCAAGTAGTCTGCATCTACCAACATGGCTCAGATCAGAAGTTAGTGACTTCAGGCACTGATGCCACGTTTTGGTTTGGCCGCCCCTAACTTTCTTCCAACCGTCTCCAATACCGGATAGCATTGCACGTCGTGGTAACCGGTGTTCGGGCATACGTAACACGTGGCCCAACCATCTCAGTCGATGAAGATTCACAACCTCATCAACTGGTTTACCATCATTCCCTAATACCCTGCGTCTAACCGCACTATTACTTACCCGGTGATCCCAGCAGACGCCAGCAATATTTCTAAGGCATATGTGGTCAAATACTAATAGCTTACGAGTGTCTTCTACTCTTAATGACCATGTTTCGCAGCCGTAAATTTAAACAGAACGGACTGCCGCGCAGTATACTCGTCTTTTTATTGATAGACGGATATCTCGCCTTCGCCATAGGTGACGTAAGTTGGCAAAAGCCAATCGAGCTTTTCGAATCCGTGCTGAGATTTCGTCCGATACCAACCCATTAGGGCTGATCAGACTTCCAAGATAAGTGAAGTTGTCAACGCGTTCGACTACTTCACTCCCTATCCTTAGTTCAGGTGTTAACGCAGACCAGTCCTGAAGCAACAACTTGCATTTAGAGGGAGAGAAGCGCATTCCAAACATTCTGGCATTGTTGCTTAGTGCTACCAGAAGACTCTGCATTTTGTAAGCGTCTTCACCAAACAGGACTATATCATCTGCGTATTCTAAGTCGATAAGTGGACCTCCTGGAAGGAGATCAGTACCCGAGAATTCAGTAGACGAGAATGTTATTTCCATCAATAAGTCTATGATGAAGTTAAACAAAAATGGAGAAAGTGGACAGCCTTGACGGACACCACTTGAGGTTGCAAAAGTAGATGACAGTTCGCCATAAGCTCTGACTCGACTAGTAGTGTTCGAGTAAAGAGCCTTCACAAGGTTTATGTACTTCTGAGGTACGCCTTTCAGTGACAGACACTGCCACAGAATCTCGCGGTCTACCGAGTCAAATGCTGCTTTTAAGTCGAGAAAGACCACCATTGTCGGACGCCGATAAGTATGCCTGTGTTCTAGAACCTGACGAATGGTGAATATGTGGTCGATGCAGCCACGACCAGGTCTAAAGCCAGCTTGAGTCTCTCGTGTTTGCAGTTCACGAGTCTTAGTTAGGCGTCTGATAATTATCGAGGCTAGTATTTTAGATATTATATTAGTTAAACTAATCCCTCTGTGGTTGTCACAGGATGATTTTGACCCTTTCTTATATATTGGGACGATAAGTGATTGTGACCAGTTAGATGGAATAACGTCTAACTCCCAGATTTTAGTTAAAATATTAGTCAACCTAATCGCTAAAATTGGACCACCATCCTTAAAGACCTCTGGAGCCAATCCATCTGGACCAGCTGCCCTTCCTCGTTTCAGATTAACTATAGCCTTTTGAACTTCAGCAAGAGTTGGGGGACCTACTTCAATGTTCCATTCACATTGTCTGGGAATGGAGGGTAGTTGTAGAGTAGCTGAAGGCCAGCTGAACTGTTCTCTGAAATGTTCCGCCCATCATTCTAAACGCCTGGACTGGGAGCAGATGAGTGTATCGTCTTTTTCGGAAATAATCTCACTTACACTTGACTTATTAATTCCAGTTTCTTTTATTAGTCTGTAAAGCTGTCTTGTGTTCCCTATAGTCGCCGCCTTTTCCATCTCTTTTGCTTTCGTTGCCCACCACTGCTCACGGTCGTTTCTTAGACTTTTTCTTAACCTAGATCTGATTTGTTGTCACTCTACATCATGTTCAGAACCTGATGGGACGAGTTTGCGAGAATCCATCAGTGTGACAGACCTTGAAGAAATCCACTGGTTCTTTGAAACTCTGTGGTTTAAGTCGCTAATAGATGTCACAGCTGCTTGTATTTCATTCCAAGCAACATCTGGGTCAGCCTCGTCTTCAGAACTACCTAATCGTGACCTCCGTTGTTCCTGGAACCTACTTTTGGTTTCCTCGCTACTCAGTTCGGTTCCAATCGGTCTTTTTACTGAGGCTTTTTTCCGTCCAGTGAGGCGCAAGCAGATGCGTGCCCGTATTAGGGCGTGATCGGAGTCCAAGCAGGTACTCCAGAATGAGCGACAATCTTGTATAGACCCTCTCCAACGATGACTGATGGCAATATGGTCTATTTGAGTCCATCGTTGGCTTGGTGCAGGCGGTCGCCATGTTAGACAATGTCTCTCCTTATGCTTAAAATTTGTGTTTGCTAAAAATAAGCGATTGTCTGAGCACAGTTGCAGCAGACGGTCACCATTATCTGTTCGCTGTGCTGGAATGCTAAAATATCCACCTAAATGCCTTTCTGTTTGGTTTAAGCTACCTATCTGAGCATTAAAGTCACCCCCTACGAGTACTATGTCTGAGCGTTTAGCTTTCTGAAGAAGTTCGGACAGCTTTCTGTAAAATTCATCTTTCACATCATCTGAGCTGCAGTCAGTGGGAGCGTAGGCAGAAACGACGAAAAGGCAACGACGTGTGTCCCTATCCTTCCGAGTTCTTACGGAGCCGTTTAGCCGAACAGCACATAGACGACTGTTGACGGGGATCCACTCTAGCAGTGCTTGTTCCGCCCTCATGCTTAGTGCTATGCCTACACCTGCCAGTCCACGAGAACTGGCCATCGGGTCACCAGATACACGTAGGGTGTATCTCGTTGGCTCTCCGTTTTGCCGAGGTGAGGTCAAGTGAATGACCACACTGGAATCCTGTATGCGTGTTTCGGAGACACAGCATACATCAATGGAAAGAGACTCTAGGGTTTTAGCCAAGGAAGCCTGCTGACCGATTTGACATAGAGTACGTACGTTGAAAGCTCCAATGTGTAGTTTGGAGCGAGGTTTCAGTAGACCTGGGACAGAGTTTTGAGCACTAGAATCGTTGGCTATGGTGACACTTGAGGAAGAAGCCGAAGGAGGGAGTTTAGGGTTGAAAGTCGATGTAGGAGGAAAAATAGGAATTGAAGAGGGAAGTTGATTATGAATACAGTGGTCTTGGGTGCTGTTAGAGGTATGAGGGCGGTTATCACTTCCCGGTTGCCCACACCGTGGAAGGGTTCTCCTGGAGGTACCTGAAAAGGAAATTGGATTAGAGGCGGTCTCAGTGACCTGAGGGCGTGACCGCAGTGCCCAAGGGACAACTGCTTGAGGCCGGTCGCGCACGGCCTTTTCGTGGAAGGTTTTTAATGTGTTAGCTCCGTTCTTCAAAGGGCCTTACCACCGGAGACGGAAATCCGTGAGGTAAGGTGAAGTGCGCATTTTTAGGGTCGACCTTTTCTAGCCCCACCCCTCCTTGTGGGAAGGCAGCATCGCTGTCATGCTGGTTGTCTGAAGGAAACACCTTACTGCTGTCACACCTCTGTACAGTCAGCAGTACGACTTCGTCTTCGGACCTTGGGTTTGTTGCTTTTAGTCTTACCGCTCTTCAACTGACCTGTCTGACATGGTAGGACCTTGAGGAACGGTTGTTCCAGCCAGTATAGCTCGGTTGCTTCATCACGATAGGCAAGCCCGACCACCACGTCAAGGTAGCAACAACGGTCGGGTGCAAAAACTGCACTACAGTCTTTATGGAGAAGGAACGATATATCAGGAAAACAAAGACCTGCTTAGGGATAAAAGCTTAAACAAATCAGTGAACAAAATTTCAATCAAGATCAAAAGAGAATGGAATTCAGTGGGTCAGTACTCCCTCGACTTTATCGTGAGTCGAAAATACACAAGCCAAATACCCCCAGTATGTCAAATTGTATCGCACATCGGAAGCCCAACATACAATTCATCAACAGAAACTTCAAGAATATTGAAACCTTTAATAGATTCATCCAGTCACGCGATCGAATCTCCCATAAAGATGTTGAATAAGATTACCAACATTCAGACCAACAATAACGAACTGGTGTTATCTGTTATGACTGCGTCGCCATTTGACAAGTTTGGTCGTTGCTAATGGTTATGTATGAAATGCTTATTACTTATATTTGAAAAAAAACAAGGAAATATTCCAATTTCCACAACGCGAATTAAAATCACCAATGCTGGAACAAATCAAAATTTATTAACCTCAAAACATGACGAAAACCCTTGTGTCGAAAATACACTCATTTATATATTGATTGTACACCCAGCTTCATTAATAATTAGGATGGAATCACATATATGAAAAATACCCAGAGTTATAACGAATCACATGCTGCATGTCATGCTGTGCATAGTTTACATTAATCTAATAGAAGAATATCATATCTTGACTAAACATGATACTCAAATAAATTAATGTTAAACTGAATAAAATATCACACTGTCAAATAAAGACAAATATTACTCTAAATAATTAACACATTGAATTAAAAAACACGGAAGTAATGTTGACCAAAAATCACAATGAGCAAAAAGATGTAATTTTGCCTTTTTAATCCCGTCGTATCAATATCCTTCGATGTGACAGCTTTATTTTTCTCAACTGAACCAAGCTTATCAAAAGGAATCCTATCCCTGTTCCTCATGAACGACATGAATCTCCAAAAGCACACAAGAACATGTCGTTTTATGCTTAAGAACATACTTTCAGTTCAACTATAAAATCTACGAATAAACGAAGGGAATGCAAATATCAGGACTCATTACAGAGGCAATGATGCAGAGATTTGAAGTCACTGTGTTACCAGTGATCAAGACAGAAACTTGGAATCGTTATATGAATGACAATTATTTTATCATCAAAAGTGATGAGTCGGAAAACATGTACCGTCTGATCAGCAACATATTCAATGATATAAAATAAATCCCAAGCAAACCAAAAGATGAAATGACAAAAGAAAAGAACTGGACATCACCTAAAAAGTAAATTTTTCCGATTGCAAAAAAGACTACATCGGATAAAATGGATGGCTCCTTCGACTTTGCCTGCACGAACATCAATTAGCAGTCAAACTCCATGATATATCTTCGCTTATATCAGTCCATGTGAACCACTTTGGACACAAATTCGACTGGGAAAATGTTGAAATCTTAGATAGATGGAATACTAAAAACACTAGATAAATTTTATAAGCTTGGCGCTCAGGTCAACAGACACAACAAATTGACCCAATTTACCAACCAATCAGAAGAATCAGGGACAAATATAGGACCAAGAATCAGATCAAGGGAACATACAATCAATATAATAAAGTACACAATGACAGGTTAAAGGTCAACAACAACCAATCAAGATCGACGTCGACAGGACAAGCTGTGAGTCATATGATGGAGAATTCAAATACTCCGCTTCTACCTGAAGTTTGGCGCTGATGTTGTTCGGAAGAACAATGAAAGCTCCAGAACTAAACCACCTAGCTCAAAGAACAAAACTCCACTTGAATATGAATGTTAATGATTGGCTACTTGACTGAGTAGTACATCATATTCTATCCTGATTGTCAATTCGAAAATTGAGGGAACCATATGCATCTAATCAGTCACTACAATAACATAGCTTTTGGACCTCTTAAACTATCGTTAAAAAGTTAAATGACAAAAGACTTAGCAAATTACAACAAGCATATGCTCACATGTAAAGCAATTAAACAATGGAATAAACTGGTTTATATTGATCAGCAAGTATAAAAATACTACGTGTATACAAAAATATCTATCGATTTTGTAACAGATTAACTAAATCTACCACTTTCTATACCTTCAGAAATATGTCTTACGTGATATACATGTATATTGAAAACTGCACTGTGGTATATGTATTAGTTCAATATTTGAATCCATAAGACATAAATACAACATATAAACTGATAATGTAAACAAGTAATACAACATATGTTTTGTATGTACACAAACTTCCTGGAAAACGTATCATTAAGTGACCATCGAATAAAACAAATAAAACAATTTAGCAAGAGTATGGATAGAGAGGAAACTTAAAATTAGAGGAAATGTGAATTTAGTTGATCTATTGAATACAATCTAGTGTCCTAAAACCTCTAACCAATAAAACTATCGCCCGTACTACGTAGACAAACATTTAGCGAATTTTGTTACATTTTGGTATAAGAATATTCAGTATAGTCTTAGAGAAAAGTGGTAATTGCTAAGGGAACCTCAGAAGAACTGACGGTGCATTATTTCAAGGGTTCTCAAAAAAGGTCATTTATTCATTGTTCGCCTGATAACATTTTAAAGACTTTTTACAAAACTAACTCAAACTTACTAACAAATTCACCAATTGAAGAGACTAACATAGCGACATAATCATCATCAGACAACTCTTTACAACAAAAGTTGTCTATTTGGCTTGAAGTTTCCAGAAGTGGTGGGACGTTAAAATGGCTCAGGTTACCATGATAGTCTGGGGTTAGAATAGGTTCTAATAAGCAAGAAAAAACGAAAACCAGATAATTATATTACTGTAGATTCACTAAAGCCTTAAACAATGAGTTATTTCTATGCTAATCAAAAACTGTAGTACTACTGGACAAAGAAACATGCAAAGTCTTTCGATTAAGGTTACTTGAAGGCAGAAAGTTAAACTTACTACCAAAACAAGAGTGCTTGAAGCGAAATATTTCAGCACTTAATAGAACGACACCATAATAAACAAATGCTGCACTGAACCATACAATCGGCAACATTAGTGTAGTCACTAAATAGGTTTTCCCAAACATTCCTTTTATACTGCCTCTATCTCGTATCTATAAAACAGATGAAAAGATAATGATCTGTTTAGTTAGCATAAATAATTGATACATTCATCTGAACAAAACAACCCTGATAAAAAGTGAACCCGAATTGGAGGAATATAATTTATTCAACTTGAATATTTTACGGATTGGTACGACCAGTGCAACTATTATTATGTTCGTTCACTTATGAGACTATAATTGGAGTTCTTAAAGTTCCATCTCAAAAAATGTAATACGAACTCCTGCAAATACTAATGTATTTTTCACTAAAATCAAAACTAGTTTAAATGTAGATAAACTCACTTAGTCTTTATCCGTTTTCATTTGTTACTTAATTTCTGGTGATTATCACAACGACTAAATCAATATTAGAAAGAATTCAAGTCGTCCTATAAATAGTTTGGTCAAATTTAGTTACAACACTTAGTTCATTATTGCTCCCACTTCAACCTGCATTAAAACAGTATTTTGACGCATATCAGCTTGCTTACAAATGCAAAAGAAGTACCTTAGATGCTGCTGTTGTTCTGCAGCATAATACAGCGCTTAGTTTGGGAAAGGGTAAGAAATGTGTTTCATGAACATTTCTAGACTATATTACTTTCGAGAACACTACCACCAAACAAGTTTGGCAGCGTCAACACCGACAGCTATCTGGGTATGTCTTACCTGTTCGAAAGAGAACAGTGTACCATGCTTGGATAAAAGTCTTCAACGTCTCTACTAATTCAAGATGCGCCACAAGGAGTTACCCTTTTCTCTGTTCTTTCTTCATTTTTTCTTTATGATCTGAGATTCCCTATGGAACATTCTTTATTACGTATGCTAGTGGTCTTATTCCATTTCTGCCTCTTCACTTCCCCTTGAAATGAAAGAATTCTTGTCTCTCATTGGACGATGGTATGTCTCTAATGGTCTTGCACTTGATTATTTTAGGTGTCAAACTACTAATTTTAGCCTGGAACATGGGCAGTACTCAAATACCATTTTGGAGTCCCATTAAGTTTGTAATATCTTAGCGTAAACTTTTCCTTTGATCTCTCTTGAGCTTCTCATGTTTTATTGATATCGAAGAAAGTTTTCCGTTTGACTTATTTTATAGAGACCACATACTTTTGGCATTACTTGACATTTACTTTTACGATTTGTAGGTTCTTGAATATTATCTATCGTACTTTACTGTTTGAAACCACTCCCTTCCGGGTATTTTAGAAAAGATTTTGTTGTGTTGCGGAGTACTGAAGGGGGTTAGCAAGGCATGTGGCGAATCTTTTGAAGTCATGATGAATATAGTTGTGGATGGACAATTTAAATCTTGCGAACTCCTGACAGATGTTATCTTATGCGATAATAATCGTCCATTTCATTTATATCTTTCTTCTTGTGAATTTTCTGGCAGAATGAAACGTCAATACATCAGAAATCATGGACGCAAGCAAAGGTATAAAGGCTCTAAAATACCGTATCTATCAAATATACTATGAGACGAACATGTTGTAAAACCTGTCTTGGACAAAAACTTGTATTCTTAAACATGTTTCCAACTAAAAACATGTATAGATTCTTATTGTATTAAAAAGAAACTTAATTTCAGGTAGTTTATATACTACTTTCATGTATATGTGTGCACCTACTGACTTTTTTGTTTTGTAAAAGAAAGTTATCGAAATATTTTGTGTTGAGAAGTCCATGTTGTACAACACATGATATTTAATAAAACCATGAATAATAATGATAACAATAATTTCATAATGCTGTACGCCTAAATGATGGAGATACTCCGATTTAACTGGAATTTCTCTTATTAGAAACATGGATAAGAAAACCTAGTAAATAATGGGAGCAAAACACTCTCATTACGAATGAAAACTAACAAATACTACATTGATTAAGAATTGGTATGTTTTATTTTAAGCATCAAGTACATTTCTCGACATAAAGAGATAACACAAGTGGAATTATGGTGAATAAAGATTGGAGATGGTTGGATTAACAAGCTGAATAGATACACCCGGTTCTAGACTTCCTGTCTAAAGTGTGCACAGAAATGTAGGACAATGAACTAACTCTCAGATTGCAGAAACTAGCTGCTGAAGACTTTATGTGAGGTCAATCAAAACTATAGTTTTGCAGCCACAAACAAATCGCCTATCTCGAGACAAGCGATAAAGATATTTTGATTGGTCCATCATTTTTTTCTCTTCGGCATACTTCGGCGTTATTTATAATTTCTGTACTAACGTTTCGTAATTAATGATGACGTGAAACGTTCAATAAGTACAGGTTTCATGAACTCGATTTTGGGTCACACCACTTATATGTAGAGGGTAGTGATGTAACCCAGCTACCCGAACTAAAGTGACACTGGGTTCGAACAAGTGACCAACAGGTTGAGAACTGATTGCTTCAACCACTAAGCTGTCTGATTAAGAATTACAGCAACAACCGACTGGGGCATCCTCCGATCAATACCATAGTTTATAAGTGTAAAATATCATTTTTAAGGACCTCTTTTGAATCTTTCAAAATTCACTTGAACAACAGTGTAAGTGTAGTTAACGTCTTAAAAAAAATCCAAGAAAATATGAAAATTTTAGAATCTTACAGGCAGAGATCTTAACTGCAGGTCTTTTTTATTCACTTGTAGAAATATGTGTATGCAAGGCAGTTAATTAAGATCTAATGGATAGAAATAACTTTTTGAAGTGTAAAAGTCTTCTACCTGAAGTTTGTCATTGTTGCGAAACAAGTGATAAAAAAAGTCAATAGAAAGAAAGATAATGATCGTATTAAAGGCCACTCTTTCGGTGGCTTCATAAATATATTTATCACAAATTAAACATGGAAAAGCAGTAGGTAAATAGAAAATTATGTGAATAAACAAATCACAATACTTATGTCTGACATTGAATCGATTTTGAAGAAGCTAAAGGAATTAATAGATATGTACTTTGGAAAAAAAAGGTGGATTTCGTTTAATAAACAACCAAAGAAAAGAGAATTATAATACATATTGAAACGATAGAAAGGCAGTACTAACTACAGTGCCATAAACTAAAATGGATGGCAAGTAAAAAGCTCCTTGCTAATTGAAATTCCATTAAGACATGGGTTCCTCTTGCTGAAGTTTGGGACTTGATTCTTCAATAAATTGTTGAAGGTTAAACTGTTGGGATATTCAGAAAAATATGCCAAAAATTATCTTGTGAAGTCTAACGCTATCCTTTGGACTTGAGATGGTATCATTTTCTTATTGGTCAATATTTATTTCACGTGTCATTTTCCTACCGGTCAATATTGTAAAATGTTATTTTCTATTTTATGGTACGATGTGGTCTGCTTGATTGGTATATAAACAGAGTATGTTTGAAATATAATGATTCATATCTCAGAGGCTGAGACTCGTGTTCTGGACTCAACTGGCTGGGCTAGACAGGGTAGTGGGACCAATCAGAACTCTAGGTCGCTCGCCCATGTTTTACGTGCCGTTGGTCCGATCGATAATACGCTTCGCTATAATCTGCAGTTCACAGTCATAACATAAACACAACGGCGATTCTAAAGTCTCGTCTGGAAAGTAAGAAGTTTATATTAACAAGAGTCATAATAATTTGATATGAATTGGAAAAAAGACTCGAAAGTCTTTTATGTACATGTTTTATACCATCTTGATAGATCACAGAGCAGGTAAGCACTCAACAACATTTGTCATGATTAAAGAAACATTGTGTTTTTGGTGTAACAGCAGTTTACAGCAACAAAAACACATAGATTAGACTTTGATATATTCTATTCCATTGAAAGAAAGTCTGAACAAGGTTGACTATCCAGTTGTAAACTAAATAGGATAATAATTTTCGGTAGAATCGTTTCATGAATATATTTCGTATTTTGAGGAAGTTGTCATCAGAGATAGATAATAGCAAGTAAACCTATGGGAATAAGATAAAACTGGACAGGCGTTTGGTTCGAGTCTAGAAATTCTTAAAACTGACGTTTGTGTGTGACGAAAATCACCTACAAATAATACAGAAATCTGTACAAAACCCCCTTAATAGCAATTGTTCTAATAGGAAGCTGTGAACCATGTAGTCAAGATAGTTATGAGGAAGAAAAATGCGCATCAACGATGCAACGCAAAGTGGGGGATGGACTAATGTTGAAAATATGTTTCAATGAGGGATGGTGAGACTTCTAAGGTAAGTGAAGTGGTCAACGCACTCAACCATTTCGCTCATTGTCATCAGTTTAGGCATTGACGCAGATCAACCCTTTATCATTTAAAGGGGAAGACACGCATCCCCAATATGCAAAATCTTGTATTTTATCAGAATCTTCACCAAACACGACTATCATTATGTGCCCATCCTAAACTGATGAACAAAATGTTTGGTAGGAAAAGTTAGATGAGAGAAGTGTTATTTCTAAGAGGATATCTATGAAAAAACTAAACGAAACGGGGGGGACTGGCGAACACTATTTGAAGTTGACAGCACGCCATTAGCTTTGACTCGACCAATAGAGTAGTTTGTAAAGAGCCTGAAGACGGATGATGTGCTTCTTTGGGGTGCTTTTCAATGACAGACATTGTTACAAAATATTTCTATCTACGGAATCAAATGCTGCCTTAAGGTCAAGAAATATAACCGTCGTCAGGCATCCGTATGTATATTCATATTCTAAAACCTGATGAAGAGTAAATATTTTGTCTACATATTCACGTCCAGGTTCGAGACCAACCGGGTTTTCGTAGGTTTGCTTTTTATGGAATTTAGTTAAGCATCGGATGATTATTACAATACATTGGTCAAACTGATTCCCCTGTGATCATCAAAGGATAATTTTTGTTGCTACAAACTGGGACCATCAGGGATCGACACCAGCTAGATGAGATTATGTTTAGCCTCCGAAATTCAGATATCTCAATCAACCTAACTGCCAAAACTGGACCACCATTCTAAATGACCTCCAGGTTAATCTTTTAGAGCCCGCTGTTCTCCATCGCTTTAGATTAGGTGTAGCGTTTTCAACCTAGAACAAAACAGCATACGTCAGTTCATGGTGAGGGCGAACATAGTAAGAATTTCACAAAATTGAAGGAAATATATTATGATAAAATGCATACTCAATATAATGTCAGACCAACAAAATTCGAGCACTTAATAAACATGCATGCCGATATGATACCAAAGGGCAAAGCCAATTACAAATACCAACTAGAGTTTAGCACGCTATTATACGCACGTAATTATACGAAACAATACAACAGAAGTGTTTGGTTTTTGACTTACAGGTACAGTGGATGATACAAGAGTACCCCTAAGAGGAACAACCCGATTCGTACGGAACAAATCTGCAATAATATGTTCAGCTTCTTCAGTTTTGCCGGCACCAACAAGATATCTTGGAGACTCAGGCAGAAACTAATATTTGAAAATATTACGAAGGAGAATTTTAAAGTAATTTAGCGAATGGGATAACCTGAGGTAATGATTCAACACAAATAAAAGTTTACAAGCGCATATAACTACAGAGCACTGATATTTAGAAAATCAGGTTACTTCAAGGTGGGAATAAAAAATATAATCAACCATGAGAGTGTTAATTAGATTTATAATATATTTTTTGCACACGATAATTTATTAACCATCAATCAGTAATACCACTGAAGTGTATGATATAAATTTACGAAATACAGTACCAAACTGTAAATTATTAGAGAGATTAGTTAACTTATGTATAGATCATTCAAGGTTTTACAGGGATGAAAAAATCAGAGAATTAATGGAAAAGTATCCTATATTGGTTTGGGTGATGCCACTGGTTAGCAAATGAAATTAGACTTTTTTAATTGTCATTATGTTATCACTAACCAGATGAATTTGGAAAGAATTATTTTAATTTTACATGATTTCTTTATTTTTTATGGAAGTTACCTACTGTTTAGTAGTAATGACCGTTTCGCAGTTTTGTGAAGATGTTTGCCTTGTATAATACAATTTCCGTTAAGGACCTGAATGAATTTACGAATAATTAATTAGTTCTCGACAAGTTACTATAAGAATGATTAGATTCTGAAAGTCGTTCAGGCTTACTAATTAAGATAAAAATATGCATTTACTATCTGTCAGCTCCCAGTGATCTTTCACAATGAATATTGTTCCCAATTCTGAACGAATTTCTAGTAAATCAAGGATTTGAACATCTATGCTGTAATATTAAAGAAATTCGTCATATAAGATCATTTATCTATCACAACCTGTACTAAAAAAATGAATGCTAACCGGTTACTACACTTTTTGTTAGAGATTTGTAGGACTAAACTGGTCAATCTCTGTTAGTTTTCGACTAACTGACTAGATACTTTAATAATGTTTGTACTTATATCTTGTTTATGACTCAGCAGTTAGTGAAAATCAGGACATATTTCGAAACTAATATCCATCGCTTCACTCACTAGGGTATTATTCTCAAGTTTAGTGAACCACCAGAGCTGCTGTTCGTTCAACAGGTAAGTTTTCATTAGAGTTTGAAATTTCGCACTATTGATTGATTCCTAAGACAGAGACTGACCCATCCTATTCCAAAGATAAACAGCAGGAAACTCAAAGTTTCAACAAAAGAATCACAATCTAGATAACTTCAAGAAGAAATAACCAGTCACATGATTACTCACAATACGAGTTTAATGAATGCTGATCAATTTAGTAAAATCTGAAATAAATATATCTCAAATTTAGATAAAATGGTATCTTACCCTCAATAAAAATAAGAAAATCAATAGTGGTAAGGCTGAAACAAACACCAGCCATCGCCAGCCAAATCTTGGCAGAATAAGGTATGCCAAACCAACTTCAAATGTGCTTCCAAAAGCCCAGAATAGCTAGACGTTAATATGTCAAGAAAAAACCATAATACATAAGGAATTTAGAGTGGCAAAATATAACCTCTCAGTGAAATTAATTGAATAAATGCAAGACAAAACTATTTCATGATAGTTTTCATAGTAATATAACTGGTCAAAGTGGGAAGGAAAACGATATATGATTACTTAGTCAATAGTTTAAGTAAACACATTAAGGAAGCTCGAAAATAGTTAGTTAGCTTCAGTAACCATAAGCACAATAAAAGAGTAATATACAAACCTTCAAAGGCAATCGGCTAATTACTGATAAGTACTGACAAAATAAGAGAATACTCTGAATGCTTTGTTAGTGTAATTACGGCAGCTAGATAATGATTGACAGATGAAAAGAGAGCAAAGTAGGTAAACTTAAATTAAAAAGAAAAACTGTAGTATATCTAATTAACGGAAATATAGTGGGGAAAAACATACCATGTTTCGCATTTATTCTACGAATGATTTCAAATTATTGTCTCAGTCAGTCAGTAACAACGTAGAACTTCGTACGTACGTACATCAGTTCGAGTTGCCATACCACATTAGCACAGAGATGCAGTTGTCGATTCAAATCACGTAGTGGTAGAGGTAGCAAGAGTATAAGCAGTAATCGGGAAGATTAGGGTTTGAAGATGTTATTCAAGTAGTATAATCCAGTGAAATAAATTTGGAAAGAAAATAAGGGACATGAAGAATTCAGAAGATTAGAATTTGGGAGAACACAAAGAGTGGATGCACCTGCGCCATTGCAAACGGTTTGAGCCATGTCATTCAGGGTCTCTAACCATCGGTTGCTATCATCTCGCGGTCCCCAACCAGGTAGTCTACACATACCAACATGACTCAGTCCACTTGTCAGTGACTTCATGGACTTGTGCTATGTTTTGGTTTGGCCGCCTCTAGCTTTCTTCCAACCTACTCCTATACCACTGAACATAGCACGTCGAGGCAGTCGGTGGTTGGGCATACGTAACACGTGTCCGAGCCATCTCAACTGATGAAGTTTCACTACGTCATCAATTGATTTGCCATCCTTACCTAGTACCCGTTTCCTAACAACTGTGTTACTTACTCGATGGCCCCAGGATATACGAGCAATGTTTCAAAGACACCTATGATCGAATACTAGGAACCTACGAATATCCTCTACTCTTATCGGCCATGTTTCACTGCCATAAAGTAGGATGGAACGAACTTCTGCGCAGTAAACACGTCCTTTGGTTGATAGACGGATATCTCGCCTACGCCATCAATGACGTAAGTTGGCAAAAGCTAGTCGAGCCTTCTGTATCCGTGCTGAGATTTCGTCACACACCAAACCACAAGGGCTGATGAGACTCACAAAATAAGTGAAGTGGTCGACACACTCAACTACTTCACTCCCTACCATTAGTTCGGGTGTCGATGCAACCCAATCCTGAAGCAACATTTTGCATTTCGAGGGGGAGAATCGCATCCCGAACATGCTTGCATTGTTGCTTAGAGTGGTCAGAAGACTGTATTTTGTCAGCGTCTTCACCAAATAGAACTATGTCATCGGCTTAGTTTATACTAACAGAATGACATCCGTAAGTCCAAATGTTATCCCACAGTAAAACCAATCGAGATTCTAAAAGGTTGGTCAAAATTAATTGAAATAAACTATTTGTTTCTTTTTATCTTCCTACTTCATAGAGAAACGTCACGACAAATAAATGGAATAACAACTTACATTGAAAGCTAACAGAACTTTGGCCCGATGCTTAACGGTCAGAAATTCTGAGAATAACGTGAAGCTAAAAATCAGATGAACATAAATAGGAAATTAACAAACTGACATAGGAGTGACATTATAATGAAAAACCACGGAAAGTCCACGATCACTTTGAATAAATTAGACGAATTGTGGTATACGCTTATTTATGACTAAGTGGTTGGCCTACGATGATCAATTCAGAATACCGGACAATCCAAACTCGTTATAATCTGTCTGACAAGTACAAAAGATGTTCAAATTCTAGAATAAATATTGACTACGTTGAGACTGAGGGGAACTCCATGCAAATTCGTGCAGAGACTTAATAAAAGTTTTTACTGGTACCCAGGATTAATCAGCTAATGTCAACACTCTGCAACTTTATATGAAGATTTAGTTACAATAGTCAGAATGAAAGAATAGTACGTCGTTATTACTCACGAAATCAACCCACCCAAATAATATGATTCATTTAAGAATTCCAAATTCATGTACTCGATTTTGAACCACACCGTGAGTAAGAGGGTTATTGATACTAAATAGATGTCCAAAACAAAGCGGTGGAGACGGGACTTAAAGCCGTATTTCAATGAAATAGATTCAAGTGTCCAAACTATTACGTCAATGCTCTTGACCACAACAGTGGCAATATTAATACCGGTGTGATCGATGGCCCCCGAATGCCCTGGTATGGCCGAGAGTGGGATGGGCCCGCCCTCGCTCTTGAAATGCTCTCACATGACCACGCGTATACAGCCTCTACCAGGCAAGTCCTACTCCCTGCCTTCTCGTGGCGGGGGTGTTGTTTACGAAAATGAGAGGACGAAAAGCGAATGTCTGGCGCTCTAACCGGATCCCAAACCAATAGCGCACATGGGCTCCAGTATCCTGAGGGAACAGATGGCGTAGGAACCAAACGTCGGTCACCGGCTAACATGGGACTGCATCTCCTCACGATGCCTTGTGGGTCAGGCTTTTAGGTCGAGGGCTTGGGGTGTGTCCCCCTAAGAAAACAACCTGCTTTGGTCTGGGCACCCGGGCAGTATCACAGCCCACACACAAATGATGAACTGTCTATACTTTTGCAAACTACTTTTCTTGCTTCGACTAACAGTCAAATGATTCAAATTATTATTATTATTATTATTATTATTATTATTATTATTATTATTATTATTATTATTATTATTATTATTATTATTATTATTATTTACTACGTCATTATTCACCCTCTTTTATTCCTACTCTGTCTATACTTATTTTTACGGCTTATACAGCAGCTCGTCTATGGCGGAAATTCGATTCTATCTAAACGTTCTCGAGTCACTGTCCGGTTGAAAATTGTATGTTACCACCGAATACGAGTACTGAACCAGTTTTTCTAAAACCACGTGCACCATTCAAACTGGCTGCCTTCAACGTTCGCACACTTATGCAGGTTGGACAACAGATAGGGCTGGCTATGTCTTTGGAAAGTCTTAATATCGATGTTTGCTGTCTATCTGAGACCAGTATTCAAGACTCTGGTAAAGTACTACAAATTCGCTCTCCATCTGTCGCTTCAAAAAGCTTGTTTCACGTGCGTTTATCCGAGGACCCTGTGGCATCTTCGTCTGGTCTTGCTGGCGTTGGTGTCGCACTAAGCGCTAGAGCTGAGGTGACACTAATCGATTGGCTCCCCATAAACAGTCGGTTATGTGCTGTTAGATTAGAGAGTTCCATCAAAGTGAGAAGAAATCGGCGTGAGAAACGATGTCTTTCCGTCATCTCCGCCTATGCTCCGACAGATTGCAGCCCGGATGCAATCAGTCAGTCAGCCACAACAATCAAGGATGAGTTTTACCACCAGTTATCTGTTCTTCTCCAGAAAGTGAGTTCGACAGATATTGTAGTACTAGCCGGAGACTTGAATGCTCAGGTCGGGCGTCTAGGCAAAGAAGAGAGTAGTTTAGGTGGCCGATGGGGACTTGTCGGTCGCAGGACAGAAAACGGGGACCGTCTACTGCAATTTTGCACAGACCACAACATGTTTCTGGCTAGCACTAACTTCCGGCACAGTCATCGCCGATGTGCCACCTGGCGTCCTCCCTTTCAATCTCAAGCCTGGACTCAGGTTGATCACATCGCGATCAGCTACCGCTGGCGTGGTTGTGTACAAGACTGCCGCTCCTTTTGGAGTACCTATCTGGACTCTGACCATGCCTTGGTCTGCGCCAATCTTACCTTACTTTTCAGTGGTTAACGAAGTGACCGCCATTAACGGATTGATATTAGCAAGCTGGTTGCAACTTCTGTTGCAAGTAAGTATCGAACCGAGCTAGCCTCTAGGCTAGCTACCATTCCACCGAAAAGTAAAGATAAGCATCGGTTGCAATTGCATGACGCCATGAAAACGACGGGTACAGTCAGCTGTGGTTTCGCGAAACGTCCCGCTTATAAGCACTGGGTTTCTTCAAGTTCCTTACAACTCATTGAAGCCCGTTGGTCTACTCCGGGTGACCGTGAGTTTGACCATAAACGAAGGATGTTACGTAAGGAAATTGGGCAAAGCTTGCGTAAGGACCGAGAAGCCTGGTGGTCGAAGCGTGCTAATGAGCTGGAAGCAACAGCTACATCTGGTTATTACCGGAAGCTCTTCCAACTCATCCGAGCCACTGGCAGCAAGAAGTCTGGTGTGAGCGAAACAATCTACGAGGATGATGGGACGCCAATCACTAACATCCATCGACGTCTTGGACGATGGATAGAATTTTTCGAAGGGCAGTTCAACTGGCCTGCTGCCCCGGCAACATCGGTCAGACTGTCCTGCCCTCCATGGCCGGTGACGACTGATCCACCAAATGAGGCGGAAGTCCGTAAGGAACTCCAACTCTTGAAGCGTTACAAATCACCTGGCCCATATGACTTACCTCTGGCTCTTTTTAAAGATGGTGGTGACTTTCTGACTAAGGAACTAATGATGTTGTTTACAAAGGTCTGGGAGCTCGAGAGTGTACCAACGTCATGGAATGAGTCGATAGTTGTCCCTATCTTTAAAAAGGGTTCACGTCGTTCCTGTAACAACTATCGTGGGAAAGTCTACTTCCGATTGCGTCCAAGCTATTGGCTTCCGTCATACTTCGTAGGTTGTTCAAAACCCGAGAAAGATTGACTCGCGAGGAGCAGGCTGGGTTTCGTTCTGATCGAGGATGTATTGACTATATCTTCACCGTCCGCCAAATGTTAGAACACCGTCATACTTATAAAGGCCAACAATCGTAGTGTTTCCGGACATCAGGGCTGCCTTCGATTCGTTGAATAGGACTGTTCTCTGGGATTGTCTATTGAAGAAGGGTGTGCCTGAGAAGTTTATTAACATCCTAAAAGCCCTATATACAAACACCTCAGGCAGAGTGAGGGCATACAGCCACCTTTCCCTATTGTTCCATTCGAGCAGTGGGGTTAGGCAGGGTTGCCCAATCTCACCATACCTCTTCAACTTTGCCATCGATGACATTCTGGAAACAGCTCTGATGAATGTAAGTGATGGTGGTGTGGATCTGTTGCCTGGAGAAAGACTTCTCGACCTTGAGTATGCGGATGATATTGTCTTACTGTGCGATAATGCCCAAGCCATGCAATCCGCGCTGAATAAGTTGGCAATCAGTGTCCGTAGGTACGGTATGAGCTTTGCACCTTCGAAGTGCAAAGTACTTCTACAAGACTGGCAGGATTCTAATCCTGTACTCACCCTGGATGGTGAGCAGATAGAAGTAGTTGAGGAGTTCGTGTATCTAGGTAGCTGCATAAGTGATGGTGGGGGGGTGAGTGATGAGATCAATGCACGAATAGTGAAAGCCAGAGCGGCTTATGCCAATCTGGGCCACCTTTGGCGCCTTCGTGATGTTAGTCTGGCTGTGAAAGGTCGGATCTACAACGCGTCGATGAAAGCAGTTTTGCTCTATGCTTGTGAAGCCTGGCCTCTCCGAGTTGAGGATGTTAGACGACTCTCTGTGTTCGATCATCGTTGTCTCCGAAGGATTACTGACATCCAGTGGCAACACCATCTTAGTAATGCAGGGGTCCGGCATCGTCTGTTCTGGCACAGCGACGATAGTTCAATTGGTGACACTATCTTGAAACATTGACTTCGGTAGCTTGAACATATCTTACGAATGTCGTCTCAGAGAGTTCCACGTCGTGCACTATTTGACGACGCTTGGACTGGTTGGAAAAAGCGGAGGTGGTCAATATATGACATGGTGTCGAGGTATGAAAGAAAGCTGCAAAGGGCTGGCTTCTGCTGGTCCTTCGCGACTCTCTGGTTGGGGTCCTAGAGACGGTGCAACACAGTTGCTAGATACGTTATCAGGCATGGCTCAGAATAGAAGCCAGTGGCGATCCTGCTGTAACCTTCTTTTACTTTCTTCATTTAAAAATTGGTTGGTTCTTCCTTAACTGAAAGATTTCTTCTGATTGTACCTTCCCGTTTCCGCCATTATTACACTACCTTACACTAATCTGTTAGTTATTGTTCTTTTTTTCTCTTCGAATTCTCATTGTTTTGTGTGGCGCATTTATATTTGGTGCCCCCTTGTACCGATATTTATGTGTTCAAATAAATAATAATAATAATAGATGTGTTCATTCGACTCTAATCACCACGCCTATTGTACACAACCACAATCGGTCTAAAGCGTTGGCATACCATTGATCACAATAAAGAAACTTCATTGGTAGTTATTAATAATAAATAATCATAATACTTATACAAACTATCTTGAATGCGGGTAGCAGTTACAAGTGTCATGGGATACTTATTTTATTTCAGTAGAGTGGTCGATAAAACGTGTCTAGAAACCCTGATAAGATTATCATAACGTTGACATTATCAATAAGAGTAGTGATAAAAATGTTATAACTCTAGAAAATTGATATGTTTAACACAAAACAGGTAAACTGAAATAGTGTGGAAAGAAAATTTTTCATTTGGTGGATAAGATAATTGGTATTAAGAACAAAGAATGACTTATCACAAAAACAGTTCTTCATAGATAAGTGACATATTTACCAGTAAGAACTAAGTCTAATTTAACTAAATTAATCCAAAACATACGTTGATTAAATTAATGTCATTTTGACTAACATTTTACTTCAAGTTAGTGAACAAGAATTAGTAAGCCTAATTAATATCCCATATGCGAAATACATCAACTTACAAGATATTTTTGGTTGATTTAGCAAAGTATCACAGTTAATAACCTTACTGTTAAGCTATTCCCACTACAATTAGGATTAATATAAGAATAAGTAAATCATGTACATGCTGAATTCATTTAAGTTGAACTTCATCCGGGTATTCGATCAGTTAAAATTTCATTTCCCTAAATCAAATATTTTTCAAAAACATTAAGTCATTTTATATTTTGCAAAGTACTGATATTCATCTGGTAAATATGACCTGTATAATAAAGTTATTACTGAATAATAATCTCCTACTCTAGTGTCAGTTAAAAACCACGTTGATACATTATCAAGTGTAGGTCAAAAAGCTTCTGAATTTTCTACGAATTCGAAAGGCAGTTTAAACATTTGTAATTCAAATCACTTTAGTGTTTTGTGTTAATTCATGTATTTTTTAACTATTAGAGCGTAGAGAGTATACACGTTAAGTAAAATTGAACATTCGTTAAGCACAAGAAAATGATCGTGTAACCATCGGTAATTGGAAATTTACGAAATTCATTTAAGAAAACTAACCTGCTATTTCCACCACCAATAGCGAATCCGACCAGAAGTCGTAATATTATGACCCAAATATAAGTGGGGGCACAACTTGTGATGATGCCGAAGTAAGTTATCATTGATAAAACAATCAATAAAGTCTGTTAAAGAAAATAAAGTTCTTAGTTATATAAATTATTATGACCGATACTAGTTATGCAAATCGAAGTAGTAGAGTAACATTGAACACAAGAGTGGAAGCGATGCAAAGAAACACCAACCAAACTCTTACTAAGCCCCCATAGACTTTTCGACTAGCACTCAATTAGTGAGAATACAATAGAAAGTAAAATGATTATTCTACGTTCCAGCTGCACGGAAAAATGCGTGGGTATTCACAGGATTCTTTGATATACTTGGTGATCAGCCGTTAAGAATGGAAGTTTCGTGGACCATGAATCAACGGTACGGGTGTGATTTATAAAAAAAATAATGTTTTGACTGATTTATGTCAAATTTCTAGAGAATAATGCATTATTCAACATAAGTAGAATCAACAGATGAACGGTGATGCTCTAAAATTTACATGAAGGAGAACGATTTTGAATAGGGAACGATGGCCCTTAAGCTAGCTCTTTTTAAATATAAGACGAGATATATCGAACAACAGTTCAGAGTTAGGAAGTTCCATAGTACTGCATAGTAGTGCTGCTATTTTGCTACAACTATGTGCCCTTGAATACAAAACTGAAAAATTTGACTACCAGCGACTAGTTTCCCGTGGTTTTAGCATTAATTTAAACAACAAACCCAATTGTTGAACAAATAACTTCTCAAAAACTACCGAATTTAGGATACTTTCTTAATAAAAGTATAATATCAAGCATTAAAGCGTACGAATGGAGAATACTAATAACGAATGAAAACAACAGGTTCATATAATACTAAGACTAATGTCAGTCATTCATATAATTAAATATTATTTTTATGTCTGAAATAAGACAGGTACACTGAATCTTTAAATTGATACACACTGAGTATCGATACATAAACATAATACTTATAATATTCGATTGATAGGTTGCTTTTCTAAATATGTACTGATAAAAATCACAAAACTTCAACAAGAGGATGGAAACAAATCCTAAGCGTGAAGATTCCCACAACTAATATACTGAGTTCCCGTCAAAATAATAATCGCAATAATAATAATAATAATAAACAATAATAATAATAATGGATTTATGAAAAAATTGATAACAGATTCAACTATCTGAATATTAAGTTGCGAATTTAAATAATTTCTATATCCTGAAAGCTTACCGGCCAACGACCAAATCTATCCGCGATAAAACCCCATAAAGGAGCTCCAAATAAAAACCCGGCAAAAACAACCTACAACATATCAAAGACCAAAGCAATTAAACTTCAACGAAATCACGGTCAGTGGTTTATTACACCCAACTGTCCCAGTTTCTTTTATTATATGGAAGGTAGTCTAATCATTGAACACAAAAATATACAAAACTTAGATCCAAAAAAGTACCTGGTATTCTTCCGAAACTTAGCACATTGAAAATCCGTAATTTTGGTTAACATTTATGGGCTGTGATTCTAACCGTACGAATATGACATACATGGGCAACTAATTGTAGATATAATGTTGTTACAGTAATTTGATGAGAGATAAGTGGGACCAGCTGAGACAAATTTAACCGAAAAAGAGATTAGTTATAGAAAAATAAGACAACCTAAAGAGTAACACTGGATATCCGAATTAAATTGTACCAAATAATAAAAAACAACAACTGGCTCGTAACCTCACAACGGATCCAGTTAATAAATGATATCACTGTCTGAACCACTTTAAAAGGATTAGGATGAACAATTATAAAGTAAGCTACAGCGCACGGCCTTTTGTGGGAGGTTTTTGACGTGTTAGCTCCGTTCTTCAAAGGGCCTTACCACCGAAGACGGGAATTCGTGAGGTAAGGTGGGGTGTGACATTTTTAGGGTTGACCTTTTCTAGCCCCTTCCTTCCTTGTGAGAAGGCGGCATCGCTGCAGATGCTGGTTGTTAGAGGGAAACACCTTACTGCTGTCACACCCTTCTACAGTCAGCAGTGCGACTTCGTCTTCAGATATTGAGTTGCTGCTTTTAGTCTTACCGTTCTCCAATCGACCTGCCTGGTGTGGTAGAATCTACAGGAACATATGTTTCAGCCAATATAGCTCGGTTGGGTCAACACGATAGGCAAGCCCGACCACCACGTCAAGGTAGCAGCTACGATCGGGGATCAACTCAACAACTTGCAGATTGAAGATCAAGTCAAATTTCTCATCTCGTGTCTGAATAGTGAATTTATTTTAATTCCATTTATAATTGTACTGTCGAAGCTCAAGAACTAGAGAGACATTCTAGTTGATAACGTTCACAGACTGAACGGTGAATACGCTATCCTGTGGTCACAAAATCCAGAGGTTGAAGCCAATCTGCCTCTAATATGTAAATTCACTGTTATTTCAATATGATTGACTGTGCATAGCTGTATTTTAATTTCTCCACGTAAGGGAAGGAAACGAAATCCGCTACTGATTATTTTTCTTGGATGTTTGAATGGATTACTCGTGGGAAAATTTTGAATTCACACTTAGTCAAGTGCACTTTGTTTGCATCAAAATTCTTCTTATCTGTTGTAAATACATCTTAAATTGATTTTAGGCGTCTTAAAACTACGAATTCAGTTTCTACTTGAATAAGTTAGCAATCAGATATCATTCACTGTTTTAATCTCGGTAAATAAATCGCTAGCAAACAGCACTAGAGAAGTGAATACTGATATGTGCGGATGTGTATTACTCATAAATAAACTGTATAAATATATATAAACTTAATGATCGACACCAATTTAAGTACGATTCATCTGTTCATTATTATTAAGCTGAAGTTATCTGAAAAATAATCGCAAAAATATCCAGACTCTTGATATATCAACTGTCAGAACGATTTCCATTTTAACACATAAAAAATTCCTTACTCTCTCGCTGGTTGTAAATAACAAGTTTTGCATACTCACTTTGATTATAAGAAGGATCACCAGAAGTTTTTAATCAAAAGAACTAAGGCCGCTTATTGACCTGACGTAAGATACTGCTTTTGACTCACACATCCATCATTGCTAAAGTTTATTTTCTAGTAATAAGTAAATGGAATGTGCAGTAAAAAAGGCTGTTTAACCATTGTTTTCCTATTAGCTATCTTATCACTTAATGGTACGACTGTTGAGGAATTCGCTGTTAGGCAAACTGTATTCTTGGAAGGAAGTTGCTACGAGCAAGAACTTACACGAATCTTACAATTTGAAAACACTCGCTTCTGTCAGTAGGAATAAGACATCCCGGTATTTTTATTTTCTATCCCATTGATTCAGAATCAGTAAATGTTAGTTCTTAGCTAAAAACAGATGTTCAGCAATACTGAAGAAGCGATCATAAGACAAAACCGTAGTTGGTTTGGTTTCCTCTTGAAGTCCACCAACGTACAGAGAACTTTAAAAAGCGAATAAGCTTGTAACTTTTCTGAAATTCTTAAAGAGGTAACTCGTACTTACTGTGGTTATGGCAGCGACTTGTCCTGACGACAGAAGCCAATAACATCGTAATGCTGGACCAAGTACTGAAAGCAGTAGCATTTCCATCGCATCTGCAGCCTACAGGTAGAAGTTTGATACGTTTAATAAGGTTTGTTATCTTAATTAGCAGAATGAACAATCAAGTCAAGTAGACCATAAACCCTAATTATTCATTGGTGTCAAGCTATTTAGCATTTAGGGAGAAGGGGCACTGTACTTAATTTGTTCTAGCAAAGTGATAACAGTAACTGGAGATTTCAAAGTTAATTTTACAGATATTTTTATCAGTCCGAAATGTTGAGGCGCCATGATAAACTTTTTTTGAACTTATGGCAAAATGCTACCATGATGGCAAATAATGTGATTTTCTCAATACAATACAAAAATGAAAAGGTTTATGCAACTAATCAGAAAACGGGTAAACAGAAATTAAAAGAATCTTGCACAATTGTGACCTACAGGTTACCAAAACACAAAGAGTCTAAAAAGGTGTTTATACAACTTAGTGGTTTAAGGGCTCGACTCGTTCGTAGTTTGAATGCGCATACATTTGAGACCACGAAAAACAAAGAACCGAGTTTGCGTTTTCCTAAATTTTGAACTTTTCTGGAACTCCCACTGATGTTGGACCGACAAACTTCAAGTTTGATGACAAAAGGTATGCTTTCCATGTACAACTTTTACCTGTCTTCGTTTCTTTGGCAACTTACTAACTATTCTGATTAAGATCAAAAACTGTCTTCAACGATATACAAAAACAGGGTATGCTATGGTTGAAAATTCACGTTAAACAGTTCGTTATGAATGATAAGCTCATTTTTACTTGAAATCCGATATTCCTTATTTTGATTTCTTAAGTGCTACATTTATAAGCATGGAAGTATATTTCAAAATGAAAGGAAAAATATATTTTCCTGGAAATTTCTTTCTTTAGAAAGGTAATATCAGAGATTTATGTCACAATTATTTTCTTATACACCGAAATAACTATGCGGGGTAGATACAATGAACTTTAATGCTAGACACAACGAAGACGCTTACCGATATGGCTCCACATAAAATGAAAAGCTTCAACTGAAACCTTCCAAAACCAGCTGCCTCCACAGCATCTTCAACTGTATATGTAGGGTTTGGTTTCTTTTCTGCATCTAACCCATTTTCACTTGAATCAGATTTATTCAGATCTTCTGAATCTAGTCGCGTAGATCCAACTATTTCATTAGGATTCGGTTTGTTTTCAGATTTGTCAGGAAAGAGGGACTGATATACAGGAGGTGAAGAGGGATAATCCTAAGAGGGTTTATATAATTACAACTCCAGCAACAAACCATTATCTATTAACTTGAATTACGATAAAAGTTGTGGGTTTTTTGTTTGGAGTTAGGTCCACTGCTTGATCATATTTACAATTTCAGAAGTATATCTGAAGCAACAAAAATAAAGTACTCATTTTTAAAACATCGAGGTGGAAGTTCCATCAAGATTAATAGTAATAGAGCTAATTTCAACTACGTGAAAACCACCACTATAAAAAACATAAATTCAATAAACATAGATAAACATTGAGTCCAGAAATTGTGAGTACTATGGAACACAGGACAGCAGATAGACAAGACTGTATTAATGAATGATATTAACTCGTCTTGATGTTCAAGATAAGAGGTTGGTATCAATTGAGTCATCAATATACATATCCTTCGGAAAATATTTAATGCTCGGATTATTGTTAAGTTAAGCCGGAAAAATGTTTAGTACTAGCTATTTCATATTTTCCGATGGCCAAGCCGACCAACCCGTGAAAAAACCCAACCACAACCACTGTCTTGTTATTGTTGTGTTGCAAGGTGACATGCAGAACAGCACTGCATAATTAATCCTAATGTGTGTACTCAAGTCTAGAACATTTTATGCTGAGATAACGTGGGGGCACTGGTGACGTCACGTTTAGATCATACATCGCTGTTTCTGCAACGCATTGAAAAGGTTATGTGTCATCAATTTCTTAGTATACGAGATATGACACTCTTATGGTTAAAAACTACCATAAGATGGAGTCGGAAGCATCTTTCCCTTAGCAAACTGCCGATTATCATGAATAAGAAACTCTAGGAAACAAGAAGAAAATTTGAAGTACGTTATACTTTTAGCCTACTAATAGGGAAAGAACTCAACGACTCGTCTCTTCCACCTCATAAAGAGATTTACGATGTCAGTACGAAAAAGAGCCAACAATTTGGTTGGACGGCCTTACCTCTTCCCGCCTTTATGCTATGCTCCAATGTGATTTGATAGTGCTGTAGCGGTAAATAAATCCCCAAAATAAATAGCTCTGTAAGTTTTCGACATTGGATGCTGACCATATGTTTTAGTGGACTCATCTAACTGAAGGCGCTCGGTCAGGCATCCGCACCAGATCACGTGTGGTAACGCCGTGCTAAACATCAACCGCAATCGCTAGCCAGATTAGATCAGAGAATTCCGATATATTGGTTATCGCCAAATATACTCTTCCGATCTCCTCGACTCTGTCTTTTGGTTTCTCTAGGTGGGAACGAAATATATTAGAAGGTGTTAATGGTAAAAGCGTTGTCAAACACTGAATACCTGTGACATCATCATTGGTGAGACCGACGTGATCTGGTACACCTAATTGCAACTGTGAGTCTGTTCCTTTTTGGGATTTTTATATATCACTGCCTTATTTTTTTATTTTTTTTAAACATTGTGATTTTTTTCGTGTTTCTTCTTAGATATATATATATTTTCCCCTCGTTCATTATCGTACTTCATACTTCATCATGACTGAACAGACACCTAAAGTACTCAAGCTTAAGACTTTGTCCCCGCCTTCGTTTCAACTGATGCCTTTCTGGCCCGACAACATCGAAGCCTGGTTCTGCTACGCAGAAGCCGACTTCCACGAGCACGGCGTGAACGACACACGTGCACAATTCCTCGCAGTAGTCAAGGCACTACCGCGCGAATTCAACAGGTACGTAACACCTATTATGTTTACTAGTGATGTTTCCGATCCTTACGAAATCTTAAAACGCTCGATTCTTAAACGAGGAGACCTAACCGATCGACAAAGGTTAGATCAACTCTTCAACAATATCGACCTGCAACACGGTCTGCGACGGACATGTTGCAACGAATGAGAGAGGTAATAGGCCCAAGAACTTTCGACGAAAGTCTATTCAAACAACTCTTCTTATCAAAACTTCCCCAACAGGTGCAAGCAGTTCTGGTCTCGTTTCAGAACAACGCCTTAGACGAACTAGCTGCTTCTGCCGACCGCATTTTAGAAATTACGAAACCTTCTACTACCGAGATATTTTCCGTCAAAGAAAAACCTCGAGCGACTCAGAATGATATAAACGACTTATGTCACACACTCACGCGTTATCTTAGTCTTCGTACCGACCGTAAGAGATCGCGCACACCACGTAGAAGCATTTCTCGTAAGCGATCTGTCTCTAGACCACGAGAGACAGATAACCCCGACTGGTGCTTGTATCATAACCAGTATGGAAAGTTTTCCAGAAATTGCAGAAAACCCTGCAATCTCCCCAACACGAAACCGACTGATTCGAAAAGCGATTCGGGAATCTTCCAAGCCGGCACGCGTTAACGGCAACCGTAGCCGGCGAACAAAGCCGTCTGTTATTCGTCACAGATGTGACAGCGAGAGTTCGCTACTTCGTCGACACTGGCGCAGAAGTTAGCGTTCTCCCAGCAAATCCTAACGACCGACTACACGAATGGACCCTAAACTTACAGGCGGCAAACGGAAAACCGATCGCTACGTATGGCAAAAGGTACGTTTACCTTAACGTGGGTTTACGCAAACCCATTCACTGGATCTTCGTTGTTGCAGATGTTTCTATGCTAATCATTGGTATGGACCTTCTACAACACCACAATCTGATCATCGACACTCGCAAACGGAGGCTAGTAGACGGAAACACTAATTTGTCCGTTTGCGTAACTTCTTTTACTGGTTGTAGAGTATCCCCAGTCACAGTTAAACATATGATAGACCCACTCTATCAACCACTACTCGATAAGTACCCTGGGATACAACAAACTCAACCGAAACTACCGTGTGTAACCAGCAATGTTACACATCACATCACGACTACAGGACCACCAGTATTCTCTAAAGCACGACGACTAGCTCCCGAAAAGCTAAGGTTAGCGAAAAACGAGTTCGACCATATGATAGACTTAGGAATCATACGACCGTCAAGTAGCCCATATGCATCTCCGTTGCACATGGTCCCTAAAAAGGACAGCAACGATTGGCATCCAACTGGTGACTATCGGCGATTGAACGCGAAAACCATTCCCGATCGTTACCGTTGCCTCACATTCACGATTTGACAGCTACCTTGAAAGGTACAACTGTCTTTTCGAAAATCGACTTGGTTAAAGCGCATAACCAAATCCCTATGGCTACTGACGACATACCGAAAACAGCTATCATAACTCCCTTCGGACTCTATGAATTTTCACGAATGCCTTTCGGTCTAAGGAATGCTGCTCAAACATTCCAAAGATTCATAGACGACGTTTTTCGAGGTCTCAACTTCGTACATGCGTATGTTGATGACCGTTTGATAGCAAGTCCGGACAGAGAATCGCATCTCCAGCATCTGGATCTTGTTTTCGAACGACTACAAAAACATGGCATTACTGTAAACATTCAGAAATGCTAGCTCGGAATTTACTCATTAGACTTCCTTGGACACACTATAGATGCGCAAGGCATTCGACCTCTTAGAACCAAAGCGGCAGCCATTCTGGATTACCCAGAACCGACCACCGTCAAGCAATTACGCACGTTTAACGGCCTTGTAAGTTTCAATAGACGTTTCATACCGAAATGCGCATTACTTATGAAACCTCTGGCCGACCAACTTCGTGGAAATGCGAAATCCATTAATTTGGATGACACCGCACGAAAAGCATTCTCCACAGTCAAGGAACTGATTGCTAAAGCAATAATGCTCGCACATCAGGACACCGAAGCACCCATTAGTATCGCAGTAGACGCATCTGACTCGGCAATCGGAGGAGTCCTACAACAATGGGTTAACAACTCATGGCAACCCTTGGCATTTTTCTCTAGAAGGTTGCTAGACACCGAATCGAGGTACAGTACATTCGGTAGGGAACTCCTAGCTATGTATTGTGCTGTACGGCATTTCCAACACTATATCGAAGGCCGTGAATTCACTCTTTTCACGGACCATAAACCGCTCACTTTCTCGTTAAGCTCTCCTTCTGACAAGTACTCTCCCCGTGAGTCTCGACAACTGGACTACATTTCGCAGTTTACTTCAGATATTCAACACATCTCTGGAGCAAACAATGTAATTGCAGACGCTTTATCTTGCATAACTTCCTTGAACAGTTTCCAAGGAATCGACCTTCTTAAACTCGCCGAGCTTCAAAAAGAAGACACTGATCTTCAGCACGAGTTATCGTCCACAACACTTAAACTACGCATCAAACAGATGGGGACAGGTAAGGAAACCTTACTTTGTGACACATCCACAGGTAGGGATCGCCCAATCGTGCCGAAACATTATCGACGCAATGTCTTCAACACATTGCACAAACTTTCGCATCCAGGTGTTCGTGCAACCATCAAGCTTATAGCAGAACGGTTTTGCTGGCCTGGCATGAATAAATACGTGAGGGAGTGGGCACGCTCCTGTGTATGCTGCCAAAAATCTAAGGTTATCAGACACAATAAATGTCCCTTAGGCTCGTTTAAAACTCCCGATGCTCGTTTCGACCATGTTCATTTGGATTTGGTAGGACCTTTACCAGATTCAAATGGACACTCTTATCTTTTAACCTGCGTAGACCGTTTCACTCGATGGCCAGAAGCAGTACCTATCAAGGACATCACTGCTGAAACAGTGGCCCGCACCTTCGTCGAACGATGGGTAGCAAACTTCGGTTGCCCTTCAACCATCACTACAGACCGCGGACGTCAGTTTGAATCTGATCTTTTCCGTCGTCTGACCACACTTTTAAGAATCACTCGATTCCGAACGACCGCCTACCATCCACAAGCAAACGGGTTGGTAGAACGTTTTCACCGACAACTAAAAGCTTCACTATCAGCTGCAAACATTTCACAGTGGACCGACGCTCTTCCACTTGTCTTACTAGGTATCCGCAATGCAGTGAAAGCTGACATTGGATACACTGCGGCTCAACTCGTTTATGGAACGACACTTCGACTTCCAGGAGAATTCGTGGGTCCTTCATCCTCTTCAATGAACATGTATCTAACCTCCTACACGAACAGGCTTACAAACGCAATGCGTTCAGTTAAACCTGCTTCCACTCGACCTCAATCAACTGATGTTTTCGTTCAACCTAACTTACGATATAGTACACACGTTTTCGTTCGTCGAGACTCGCATCGACGACCATTCGAATCAGCATACGAAGGACCCTTCAAAGTTCTTCAACGTGAATCTAAGTACTATATAGTCGATAAGAACGGAACAAATGATAGCATCAGCATAGATCGCTTAAAAGCAGCGTATTTAGAAGGAAATCCTATCCACGTCGACTTTCCTTCGGTACATTCGCACAACGCGACTCCTTCACTCATAATTCCTCAACCGACAACCAACACTAGCGATGATACTTCGAATGTATCTGAAAATATACCTAAAACGACGCGTTCTGGAAGAAGAGTAAGATTTCCAGAACATTTAAACGACTACTACACGTAAGGCACTACTCGACATTTTATATTATCTCGATCTTTCTTTTTAACGATATATAATTTTTTTTTTAAAAAAGACAATTTCATTATGCCTATATATTTATATTTTTATTTTTAAAAAAAACAAAACATAAAAAACATTTTTTAACACTATTACGTGTGCTTGAGTATATTTTCCATTTTTTCGCCGACATTGTGTTTTTACGCACATACGAGTGTATTTCGACATGCACTTACACTTTCTTTTTTCTTTTCCAGGACGACTGGAAAAAAACGATGCAGTTTACAAGGAGTCGAAATTTTCGTTGTAACTCTTTCTTTTTTTACTATGTTGTATCTCGGTCCCATATAGTAAGGAAAGACGACCAGACGCTGCTACAGTTAGTAAGCTATCAGAAGAGTGTTTACCAACGACAAACTCGTTGGGTTTAAACTTCTGGCTGGCCACGTCTTAGGGTTGTCACTGCCTTACTAGGGGGTGAGTGATCTGTAGCGGTAAATAAAT